CGCTCGCTCGCGTCCCTCTAGCTCCTCGGCCCGGCTCCGTCTGCGACAAATCATTAACTGTCAAGCCCCGAGGGCCAGACGATACATTTGCAGATTACAGCCTGGCACCACCCCCCGGGAGCAGAGAAGAAAGGGTAATTTTTTTTTCTTTTGCCTTGGCAGTCGAGCCTCGGCGTTGGGTGGCACCCAGTGTGCACTTGAGGTTTTTATGGTTCCTTGTTTGAAATCGGCACACGAGGTGATACGAGGCTGCCCTGGCTGCTCCCGGGGTGTCCTGCGTCCTAACCCAGGAAGCTGAGGCGTACCAACTGCCTGAACTTGGCCAACTAGGCGGACCGGCTGACCCTCCCCTACCTCCGACCTCCGGTCCTCGGACTGGTTTTCCGAGATAGCCCGGTCTGGAAGAGCTGAGGACGCTTCAGGTCTCGCCGTCTTCCTCACTAAACAGGGGTAAGATCGGAAACGCGTCTTTGTGGCATGGGGCGAGCTGCGTCTCCTCTCTCGCGGTGTGCTCGCTTCGCCTTCCTGAAATCCGAGTCGTCCCGGCGGAGCTGGGTAGGGAGCCGGCGCCAACCCCTACTCCCCAGCCTGGCTGCCCTGGCCTGCGCCCCGCGCGCCCCACCCCACGTTTCCGTGGACCAAGGAGGGGCCCAGAGGCCCGAAGAGCTGGGATAGAGTTCTTGACTCTTACTGACCGAGGAAGTCTGTGACTCTGCTTGGTCTTGGCTTTCGAAAAGATCAGAAAGACAAAAGATAAGATGTAAGGGCCTCCCCAGCTCCTTCCATGGGGTAAGTGGACAAATAAACGCAAGCTCAAGACGATGGTAAATGCAGACTAGTTGACAGTTTTGTAAGAAGACTCTACGAAAAAAATAGGACGTTTTGTGTAACAAGGAACTCCTTTAGCCAGATTTACTCCATCTTGTCACACTCCAACTTGTTAATCAACTTCATTTTTTTCCTTCTCCTCGACTTGATTGTACCTTTGTTTCCACTCTCTTTTAGAAACTCTAGAGAGACTTCACAGGCCGTCAATCTGAACTCAACCTGAACTTCAAACGGTGAGCAGGTGTTAAGGCACTGGACTCCCACATGGTGGACCTCCTGGAGGCCGAGCACTTGTGCAGTGGACAAGCGCACATGCCTTACAGCAAAAACCTAAAGAAAAACAGTTCCACCCAGGAAACCAGAACACCTACTTTGAAGCTTGTTTGTACCCTCCAACTAAAAATTCGTCCGACTGACGCTTTACTGTACTTTGCCACTAGCCCTCTTCCCCTATAAAAGCATCTATAAATTCGCTGACCCGTTGAAGATATTTTATTTATTTATTTATTTATTTATTTATTTATTTATTTATTTATTTATTTAAATAGGGTATCTGCACTTGCCAGAGACAGAGAGAGAGAAAAAGAGATAGCATACCCCACACCCCATGCCCACTTTGCAGTCCCGTCTCCTCCATTCTCCTCTGAGGATTTGGGGCACTTAGATATACACACCTGGTGTGTTTTTCAAATCTCCAGAGATTTGGGATTTGATACCTGGCCCAAAAAAACAGGCCCAGAACTTTAACTATTCAGTCAGCTATGTGGGATCTAGCCTCCTTAACCTCTGTGCCATCTGCTGGCTCAGAAGATATTTTTACACATATTCCCAATGTGGTCTGACTGTAATAAAATCTTTCTTCTCTCACCAGCACCTTTGCCTCTCTCTGTGTTCTATTGCCTGGCAAAGAGCGGGACCTGCTTGAGTCCCAGGACCAGGGGTATAAGGTCATTCACAATATCCTCACTTATATATTGAATCTAAAACAACCAAACTCATAGAAGCAGAGAATAAAATGGAGGTTATTGAGGCTGTGGGCTAGGCAGATTAAGAGATGATGGATGAATTAACGTAATCGAGTAATCCATTACATAAATAGTGCTATCCAACTGGAGTTAAAAGTAAATTTTAATGCTTAAAAGAGGGACTACAGGAGGCATAGTAGTGAAGGTGCTGGACTCCGACATGGCTGACAATGATTCATGTTCTGGACCCATCAGCTTGAAAAAATCACACTGGGTGCATGTGCGTGAGTGCCCAAAATCCTGAGAGAAGAATAGAGAAGGGATTATGGCATGGCCATTCTCCCTGGGGGGGTGATTTCTCACTTTCTCTTTGTCTCTCTCTGGTGAGCACATGTGCCCTATGGGGGAAAAAAAAAAACAAAACTTAAAAAAATCATGGAAAATGTGTATTATGGAAAAACTATGCATGGATTTCAATTTTATTTGGTACCAAACTAAACCTTAATTCCATTTTTCCACAAACTTTTTAAAATCACTTTTTTAATTGCCAGAGGGCATGCATGCCAGGAGGAGAGGGAGTTGGAGAAAGCACCCATCAATGGGGCATACTTACACTGCCATCCCTTCTCCATTTCTCCATTTTGAACATGTATGCACATGCGGTCTGCATATTTTCAAGCCACTAAGACTGAGACTCAAACTGCAGTCAGCCATGTGGGATACAGTCCCTAACCACCAGTCTATGGGGCTAACCCTCCACAGACTTTGAAGTTCCTCGTGTGTATCTTCATATCGTGTTCTTACTACAGACATATACTACATTTGCAATTTGAAAAATATTCAATGACTGTAGTCTTTAATAGGTCACATTAATCTTTCTTTAAAACATGTTAGGCTCAACATATCCTTCCCAGGTGACAATGGGACCAGGAAATACAGCCAACCACTGATAGGAATTCTAAAGTTATGGACAAACTTGTATAGATTTTCTAAACGTAAAAATCCTCAAAACTTGTCAATAGTTGGGGCCAGCTGCTGGCATATTGGCTAAGGCAAATGAATCCCATGTGGCCGACTGCACAGTCTGAGTCCCAGGCAGCGGGTTGAAAACATGTCCAGGGGACCAGCAGTTAGCATAATGGCTATGTCGCTGGACTCCCATGTAGTCGACCGCAGTTCGCGTCCTGGAGCCGGTGGCTTAAAACTCATGCCAGGCGCATGTGCATGCGGGCCCAAGATCCCGAGAGGAGAATGGAGGAGAAGGCCCCAGCGTGGCCATCCCCCCTGGGGGGTGATTTTCTCGCTTTCTGTCTCTCTGTCTGGCGAGCTTACACGCCCTATAGCAAAAACCTCTCAAAAAACAAAACAAAACAAAAAACAAAAAAAACATGTCCAGCATGTGTGCATTCATGTCCTAAATCCTGAGAGGAGAAGGGACTGCATGGAATGATCATTCCCCTTGAGGGGTAATGTCTCACATTCCCTCTCTCTTTCTGTCTCTGGCAAGCACATGCACCCTATAGCAAACAAACAAAAAACAACAGTAGTACTACTCTAGCACTGCTCCAAAATGAGATCATCCCCTTACTGAGGAGTATTGATCAGTCTATATTATTTTGGTATCAGGATTAAAATACTTTGAATGGATCTGTGGGAACCAAGCCATAAGTTTTTGTCAAGGGAAATTTACTGGAAAAAATAAAAATTAGGTGTTGGGGATTTTGCACATAATAACTTTGTTTCTTACAAGGACAAAAATAATAGCTTCCACTTATTGACACCTACTGTGTGCCAAATACTTTATAGTCCTTACTGTATGCTTCAAATCACCCCAAATCTTAGTGGCTTCTGATAGTAATTATTTTATTATATCTTGAGGTTTCTGTGGGTTGGAAATTAAGGAAGGTACAGGCCAACTGATTTTGGCTCAAAGACTGTCATGTGGTTACAGTCAGAAGGCACCTGAAATGAGAGAGCAGGGAATGGAGTGTAAGGTTATAGCTAGATCATCCATGGTCAGACAAGCATCCCTCTCTCTCTCTCTCTCTCTCTCTCAGCTTAGGTTTTTTTTTTTTTTCCAATTACCACCATGAATATGTAGCATGTATTTAAGGTGAATTTATTACTCCTTGCAGTGAGAGAGAATATACATCATGGGGAAACCAGGGATGTCTCATGAATAGGGTGTAGCAGAGAGAACCTACTACAGGATATGGGCGTTGGTTGATCACTTTGAGGAAGCAGGGATTCACTCCGGATTGAATGCAATTCTGATTGGTATCTCAGTTAAGTTTATCAGACTACAGAGAGGATAAAACAGTAATTGCTAGGGAAAAAAAGAAGAAGAAAGTACCAATCATTTATATTGGCCAAGAGAGGAAACTCAGTATTTTGTGGGTGGCACAGTGACTTGGTTTTTGTGCTTAGATAAGATTATGAGCTGGCTTTGCTTCATTTCATTTTATCATGGTCTCAGAGTAAATGCTGTCTTAGGAAAGTATTCTGTGGGACTGTTTACACCTAATAGAATAATAAGGCCAAACTATGATTGCCAGACCAGCTTCCAGATATTAAAGACTGATATTTTCCCCTCAGTATCTCCTTTTATTTATTTATTTTACTTTTTAATGTTTACTTAACTGTGAGAGAGCATGTGTGTGCACACAAGTGACAGGTACCTTGAGCAGGGTCAGGCCACAATTCCCTTCCTACGGCCCTCCAGCTCATCAGGATCTTGGTGCACATGTACCAGGCATGCTTTCAGGTCAACTAGGGATCTGAACCCACAGTCGGCCAAGTGGTTTCCAGCACTGCAGATCAGTATACTACTGACTGTGCTCCTGGGATGGGCCAGTATCTCCTTTTATGACAGAAGTCAGATGGTATCCTATCCAAATACTAGAGGAGTTATCTCCTCTCACTGAAAGATAGGTCAAAGTCATATGGAAAAGGCCATGTGGGATGGGAGATAATGGGGCAGCCATTTATGGTTGCCACAAGTGCTTTCCAAACTGTTATCAGGCATCATTAAAGCCAATTTTGTCTTTATTCATGATAGACCTCATGCATACACATATAAAAGTGAGGGAGAGGGAGGAAGGAGCACTCCTTGGACTCACTGCAATGACATATATACTGAAATTGGAATGATACGGAGAGAGCAGCACTCTCCACAGGGTCTGGCTGTGCTACAATCCCTCCTGTCATGTTCTAGCCCTTCAGATTCTGGGCATTTGCACACACCTTGGGATCTAGCCAGGGTTTCAAACCTTGGTCTCCATGTGGGATCCAGCCTCTCATGAGCAGCACTTTACTTCTGTGCCACAAAGCTGGCTCAAACCTATTTTGGGTAAGAAAACTAAAGCTCGGTAAGATTAGTTAATAAACTGGCTTAAACAATTTGGAGATTCTTCAAAAATCTACAAATAGAACTACCATATGATCCGGCAATCCCACTCCCTGGTATCTACCCAAAGGACAGAAGAATTCTTAATCTGAAAAGTACTAGTACATCCATGTTTATTGTGGCATTATTCACAATTGATAAGATATGGAACCAGTCCAAATGCCCATAAACATATGAATGGATTGAGAAAGTGTTGTACATATACTCTACAAAATACTACTCAGTCATGAAAAACAAGACCATGGATCTTGACAGAAAGTGGAAAAATATGGAAGATTTACTGCTGAGTGAGGCAAGCCAGGCTATGAAGGAGAGACATTGTATGTCCCCACTTAACATATACCGAATGTCTGCACTCTATGACTGAAACTGATTGACTAACAGTTGTACAAACACAAGAGATGGGTGTGACTGTCAGATGAGGTGTATGTGGAGGAGTGGGGCCTGACGAAGGACATTTGGAGAAGGGATACGGAGGTAGAACATTGACGGGATGGGGAAGTGTGGTGTTATTGGTTGAAGATATTTTGATCAACGGGATTGGGGGGAGAAATGTTCACATATTGAAATGCTCACATTTTAAGCTAAACAATGCAACTGAATATATATACAAAAAGAAATAAATTTAAAAATTTCAAAACAAAAAACGAACAAAATAAATAAATAAATAAATAAATAAACTGGCTTAAAATCTTGAGAATAATAACTGATTGATGTTGACATTAGAGTCACCAGGCTGTCTTTGCCATGTAACTGACGAGTGTACATGGCCCTCTTCCCTAATACCATTTCTCTCTACTTGTAAAAATAATTCTAATGGGGCCAGCAGGTGGCGTAGTCCCATGTGGCCGACTGCACAGTCTGAGTCCCAGGCAGCGGGTTGAAAACATGTCCAGGGGACCAGCAGTTAGCATAATGGCTATGTCGCTGGACTCCCATGTAGTCGACCGCAGTTCGCGTCCTGGAGCCGGTGGCTTAAAACTCATGCCAGGCGCATGTGCATGCGGGCCCAAGATCCCGAGAGGAGAATGGAGGAGAAGGCCCCAGCGTGGCCATCCCCCCTGGGGGGTGATTTTCTCGCTTTCTGTCTCTCTGTCTGTC